CATTACCCTAAGTACATGTATGAAGACACGAATGGTGTGAATATACTCTGTATACAACCAGAGATATGAAAAAGTGTACTCTATATGTGTAATATGAATTGTAATATATTCTGCTGTCATATATAACAAATTAGAATTTAACAATTTTTAGTAAAAAAGAAAAAAAAATGACCAACAAAATACATGAAAAAAGTCAAACATCTCTAGAAATTAGGGAAATACAAATTAAAACTACATTGAAATTTCATCTCACTCCAGTCAGAATGACAATGATCAAGAATACAAATAACAATACATGTTGGAGAGGATGTGGGGGGAAAGGTACACATTGGTGGTGGGACTGCAAATTAGTGCAGCCACTCTGAAAACAATATGGAGATTCCTCAAAAAACTAGGAATGGGTTGGGCAATGTGCTTCATGCCTGTAATCCCAGCAGTTTGGGAGGCTGAGGCAGGAGGATTGTGAGTTCAAAGCCAGGCTCAGGAACTTAGCAAGGCCCTAAGCAATTCAGCCAGACCCTGTCTCAAAATAAAAAAATAAAAAGGACTGTCAATGTGGTTCCAAAAGCTTACCTTGCATTCAATCCCTTGTACAAAAAACAAAACAAAAACAACTAGGAATGGAACTACCATATGACCTAGGTATCCCACTCCTTGGTATGCATCAAAAGATCCAAAATCAGCATACTATAGTGACCCAGCTACATCAATGTTTGTAGCAGCACAATTCACAATAGCCAAGCTATGAAACTAACCTAGGTGTCCTTCAACAAATGAATGGATAAAGAAAATGTGGTATATATACACAATGGAGTTTTATTCAGCCATAAGGAAAATGGAATTATGGCATTTTACAGTAAATGGATGGAACTGAAGACCATCCTGCTAAATGAAATTAGATCCAGAAAATTGAAGGTTGAATGTTTTTTTCTGATATGCAGAAGCTAGTCCAAAATAAGGAAAAAGAGAAGCAGGGGAAGGGGGAGATTTTATCAAAATAGAAGAAAGATCAGTGGAGTTGAGAATGAGGATTAAGGGAAAGAGGAGAGGCAAGATAAGGGAATAACAATGGAAGGAACCTGCCTAGGTACATATATGAATATGCCACAGTGAATCTCATCACGTACATCCATAAGACATTAACTTAAGAAACATATATATAAGTAAATAACAGAAAGCTTAATAGAAAGAGGGAAGGGGGCAGACGGAGGGGAGGGAAAGGGGAAGTACTAAGGACTGAATTAGAATAAATTATATTCCATGCTTTTATAATTATATCACAGTGAATCCCAATGTTATATATAATAAAAAGAACCAATAAAAATAAATTAAAAATTTTTAAAGGGGCTTGGAGATATAGCTCTGTGGTAAAACACACCTGGGTTTAATCCTTAGCACCAAAAAAATAAAAGTAGAAGAGAAAGAGAAATAAAGACTTTCTCAAACAAAAATTGAGGGAATTTTTCATCAGTAGAACTATCTTACAAGAAATATTTTATTTGTACCAGAGATTGAACCCAGGAGTTCTTAACCATTGAGTTACATATCTAACATTATTATTATTATTATTATTATTATTATTATTATTATTATTATTATTATTTGAGACAGGGTCTCTCTAAGTTGCCTACAGTATTGTTAAGTTGCTGAGGTTGGTTTTGAACTTGTGATCTTTTGGCCTTAGCCTCCTGAGTTTCTGAGATTACCGGTGTGCACTAGCATGCCCAGCACAAAAAAAATGTTTTAAAACATTCTTTAGAAAGAAGGAAAAAGAGACAAGCTAGGCAGATCTATATAAAGAAAGGAAGAGCAGTAGAGAAAGTACAAGTGAAGGAAAAACTTCACATTCCTTCAGTAAAGCAAGAAAAATAAATAAGTAAAACCCCCAAATCTTCTGCTGTTAGACTGAGCACATGTGGCTGGAAGAGGGAAGGTGAACTGGATGGACTCTCTGGGGCAAGGACATTGCTCTCCCAAGAACTAGGGATGTTGGGAGTCTCCTGGGGCTAAGAGAAGGGCACATGAGTTAGCCAAGCCTGGATAAAGAGTGGCTGCCTCTATTTGGGTGGGGCCTGGCACTCTTCTGGGTGGGGAGAAAAGATAGAGGAAGGTGGGACCTGCTTGCCAGGTCTGTGATGAGAAAAAGCCCAAGAAAGGACATCTCACCCTGCCAGAGGTCTGAGGGAGGCAGTGCAGCCACAGGCAGCACCAACACCGAGGGCGTCAGCCAGCCAGTGGCTATCTAGATACCTGGTGGGGACTGAGAAACAGAGGTCTAGGCATGAGATCTTGAAGGCAGCTCAACTGGGAAGATGCTGGTGGGCTTTTATCAGCCGGGGCTTTTCTCCTTCAGCTTGTACTTCTGTCTAGGCTAGAGAATGAATAAAGCCAGTGGTTCTTGATCTTCAGCTCATGTTGTAACTACCGGCAGAGCTTGGTTAAAACACATGTCCGTGTCCCCATCTCCAGCATTTCTGACTTAGTAGGTCGGGCATGGGGCTAGAAATGTGTTTTGTTTTTTTTTTAAAAAAGTCTGCAAAAGCTGTTGCTACTACTTGTTTTGAGGACTCCACTTTTCAAACCACTGAATTATGAAAGACAATTTAATGTGACAGGGCTGGGGATGTGGCTCAAGCGGTAGCG